ATCTCTGAATATACATATATATATGTAAGAGGGATTTGATCTTCAGTTTTTTCAGAATCAACTTGATGTCATGAACCCTTCAATCACTTCTTCTATGACAGTTGCCATTGCTGACTTTTCTTTATCCCAGAGATGTCACGTGGGATTGTTCCTATTTCTGGGCTCCCTCTTCCTATTATATTGGGCCTGTGAGGCCCAAATTAGCCTTGTTTGCTCTGATGAGCCTTGGGCTGGTCTCTTCTGGTTTTTTGGGCTTCCATCTTTCTTTGATTTTTTTGCAGCTTTATTCTGGGCCTATTTTCGCTGGGCTGGGTGTGTCAATTTTTGGCCCAAACACCTTCTCCTTCCACTGTTTCAGAATCCACGCCTTTGCTCCTTCCACTCAAAGTAAATACTTTTTCACGGTTTAGATAATGGAGTTGCGTTCAACCCTTGCCTTCAACCGTCGTTAACCTTTGTCTTCAACCATCGTTGCCCGTTGCCTTCAACCGTTTCTCAGAGCTTAGCGGTTTCTCTGAGCTATGAGTTTTAGATCAGTGGGTTTTTTCTGTTCAAACTTCGAACTTGCCTCTTTTTTCTTTTTCTTTTTTTTTGGGACCAACTTCATTGCTGGATATTAAATTCGGGTTTGGGTTCTTCACCTACCCGATTGCACAACTTTATCCCAATTCTCCCCAACCCTTGGATTGATCTAATGACTATAAAGTGAACCCCTTATAACTTATCCCTCATTATAGTCTGAGCATATTGTATCTGCATCAATGTAATTCGCAATGGAGAAAGCCCCTGTATGCCCATTTCAGTCTTTTTGAAAGTATGCAGGACAGATTTAGGTAGTTTGTATTTTAGGAGAAGAATTTGCATGTCATAGGGATAATGTTGTTTTACTATCTCATCCAATCATGTTTCGTCATGTGAAATCCTTATCACGCATGGTGGAACGTGATTGATTAGAGATAATAGAACAATGCTATTCCCGTGACATGCAATTTTTTTTCTTCGTATTTAGGGACTTTTTGATCATTTCCCCTTGATAAAATCTTCCTGCGTTTCCTACCAAAAAAATAATATCTTCTAGCGTTTAGACCCAAAAAAAAAATATATAAAAAAAAAAAAAATTTCAAACGCAGCCTAAACTGGTACAAAAATAAGTTCAACCAGCGCATAAATCTTCTCAATGACAGTATAACCTTGCGACCAAACAGAGGGACCAAAGTGTAATGGTATAATTTCTAGGGTTTCAACATTTCGCTATAAAAGCTTGATACTCTGCTTCTTCTAAGCCCACGGTCCCCAACTCTTGAAATTTCAGAGATTTCTCTCCTTCATCTTCCTTGCTTTTAATTTTCCGAGATGGCTTTCTATTATTTTTTTCTCTGAATTTTGATTGATGAAAATGATGAAAGAGATGTGTAAGGGTGATGATCATTCGATTTCACGTGATCAAACAAATTCTCTTCGCTACGTTCTTTCTGATTCTTAAACTCCCACTGCCATTCGGGCCCCCATTAATTTAGAAATTCAAATTTATTTTGTCTAGTTTCTATTATTTCTCCTTTTTGTTTAATGTTGAATCTTCGAACTGGTTTTTGCAGAAATTGGTTAATTACGTTTATTTTTAAGCAACCACAGATTATAATGGTGTATTTGTAGTTTGATGTGAGGAGATGTTTGATTAAAACTGCAGATTGGGTTCTACTTCCTTCTCATGCAGGTTATTTCTCTGCTTCAAAGTTCCTTGATATTCTGCTTCCACTGAAAACTTGTGTTTCCAGATTGATGAACACAGAAGTATTCTAAACCTAGTTAATGAATTTGAAGCTAATCAAGTAATTATAATTTGGGTGGAAAATCACCATTATGGACCACAAATTGCCTAAATTTTTACCCTTTTTGAATCAATTTTACAAGTTATTGGGTTCTGATTGAGAGATGCATTAACCTAATGCAGCCCTGATTTACCAAGTTCTGATTGAGAGATGATGGGCCTATAATTTTATCTTAACAGCATAAGATTTTTCAACGACTTTGTAACCTGGAAAACCAGAGACTATTAATGCTAATAAGAGTTAAAAACAGAGGAAGCAACAACTTAACTCTTTGTTTAAGTCTGATGATTTGTTTTGATTTGTGGGAGCCTACCTGAATTAGCTCTTAGGGCTCTTTTAAATGGATCATAAACTTATGGTTGGAGTCAAGGAAAAGTTTCTCAAAGTGATGCTTGACGTTAGATACGTCCCCATTCTTCCTCTTGAAATTTCAAACTGTCTGTTTCGTTAGAAATGGGACTCGTATAACCGCGTTACGAAGCTCAGATTTCTGCAGATGCATATGTAGAAAGTGCAGATTGTATCGATATGACCAGTCTGATTTAAATCATATACAGATTCGTACACCGTACTAGAAGTGTAGAATTTTCAGTTTATTGACTTTTATCTTTCTGAGATTACTTTTCATTTTAGGTTTTGGTTGTTTGATAATTTAGTCCAACACTAATAGAATGAAATATTTTACAGCTAATGCAAGCTCGTGGAAGGAGAATTATTGATAAAAGTCAATGGTTTTTTTTGTTTCACCAGCCAACTTGACAAACACATTGCTGCTTTTGGGGATCTGTGGATCGTTTGTCATATTTTGAGGCGATCGGTTGACTTCCAAAGTCAAACATACGATATCCTGATTCAGCATGTCTAGCTAAGCTGTCAAGTGAAAGGAACAAAAGTAGAACAAGGAAGGCCAAGCTTGGCCTGTGCTCATAGCAAAACAGCTCTTTTTTGCAAGTTTGTAAGGAGATGAAATTCACTTGCAAGAACAACTTTATTTATAAGCCTGTTCTGCTTCTGTTATGTTTAACCTTCTTCGATGCTTGTATCTCCATGGCGTCTCATGTTATTTCCGCAGGCCAATCTCTTTCTGGGAACCAGACAATTACCTCTCCAAGTGGCATTTTTGAGCTGGGTTTCTTCACACCAGGTAACTCTCAAAACTATTATATTGGGATATGGTACAAAAAACTACCCCCTCAAACAGTAGTTTGGGTGGCAAACAGATACCAACCTGTTTCTGATACATCGTCTTCAACATTGCAACTTTTCCAAAATGGAAACTTAACCCTACTGGGCCAATCCAAAGCTGAAATTTGGTCAACTCATTCTATGTCAGCGGTTTCTCATTCCACCGTAGCAATGCTACTTGACAATGGGAACTTTGTCATAACAGATGCATTTAATTCATCTGTTGTTATATGGCAGAGTTTTGATCACCCAACTGATACTTGGCTTCCAGGAGGGAAGCTTGGACATAATAAGCTTACAAAAGAAAAACTAAGTCTTACTCCATGGAGAAGCCCACAAAATCCAGCACCAGGCCTCTTTTCTTTTGAGCTAGAACAAAATGGAACAAGTTTTTGGTTATTTTGGAATGGTTCTAAAACTTATTGGACCAGTGGGTATTGGACAGGGAAAATTTTTAGCCTTGTTCCAGAAACAGCAGCAAATGATTATATTGCAAGTTTCACTTTTGCTTCAAATGAAAACGGAAGCTATTTCTCTTATGCTTCAGCATATAACGATACCTTTATTAGATTCATGCTAGAAATTACTGGTCAAATCAAGTTTTATGTCTGGGGGAAGGGCTTCACACAATGGACTCTAATCTGGATGCGACCAATTGAGCAATGCGATGCTTATGCTACCTGTGGTGCTTTTAGTATCTGTAACCAGCAGAATGCTTCTCTCTGTGGTTGCCTGCCTGGATTTGAACCCAAAGTCCCGAAAGTTTGGAAATTAAAAGATCACTCAAATGGCTGTCTGAGGAAAACTCCTTTACAGTGCAATGATGTCCGAAATTCCACATTTCTGGTGATGCATGATGTTCTCCATCCTGTGAATTCTGAGTCTTTGACAGTTGAGAACATTGAAAAATGTAGATTAGCATGTTTAAGAAATTGTTCGTGCACTGCTTTTGCTTATGATAATCAGTGTCTGATTTGGAAAGGAGATCTGCTCAATGTAAAGCTACTACCATCTGAAGGTAAGGTAGGAAAAGATTGGCATCTCCGAGTTGCAGCATCTGACAATGAGTATCAAAAGATAGGGTCTACCATTAAGATAAAGAGGAAGACTACTTGGATTGTAATTGGTGTACTTTTAGGTTTCACCTTTATCTTGACAATTGTCATGATATTAGTCAGAAGGAGACAGTCGGAAGGAGCATTGGAGACAGTTGATGATTCTTTAGTGTTGTTCAAGTATAGAGATTTAAGAAGAGCAACAAAGAACTTCTCAGAAAAACTTGGGGAAGGAGCTTTCGGTTCTGTCTTCAAGGGGGTATTGCCTGATTCAACTGCCATAGCAGTGAAGGAACTTAAAAGTCTGAACCAGGGAGAGAAGCAATTCCGCAATGAAGTGAGAACTATTGGTTCAATCCAACACATTAACCTTGTTCGTCTCTGGGGATTTTGTGCAGAAGCTTCAAAAAGAATTTTAGTCTATGATTACATGCCGAATGGTTCTCTTCAATCTCTCTTGTTTCAAAAGAATGCGATAATCCTAGATTGGAAGGCCAGATATCATATTGCAATTGGCGCTGCCAGAGGATTGGCTTATCTCCATGAGGATTGTAGAGAGTGTATCATACACTGTGACATTAAGCCTGAGAACATTCTGTTGGATGCAGAATACAGCCCGAAACTGGGAGATTTTGGTCTTGCAAAACTCATAGGCAGACAAAATAGTCGGGTTCTAACAACCATGAGAGGAACTGTAGGCTATCTAGCACCAGAATGGTTTTCAGGTGAAGCCATCACACCCAAAGCTGATGTCTTTAGCTATGGCATGTTGCTGATTGAGATTATATCAGGAAGAAGAAATAGACAAGGGTTAGATGAGGGATTAGAGAGTTTCTTTCCAATCCAGGTTACAAATATAGTAACCAAAGGAGAAGATGTTGTTACCTTGTTAGATTACAGATTGGAAGGGCAAGCAGACAAGGATGAACTCACCCGGGCATGCAAAGTCGCTTGTTGGTGCATTCAAGATGATGAGAAGGATAGGCCAAAAATGAGGAAGGTTGTTCAAATTCTTCAGGGAGTTTCAGATGTTGGTATACCTCCAATCCCACAGTTCCTCCAGCGCCTTAATGAGAATCCAATAGAAGCCACCAGTAGCCAGGAGACAATTTGCACTTCAGATTCATCGGCATGATCTGATGTCTTTTCTGCGTTCAATCTAAAATCAGCAACTATTATGTGGAAATGAATAAGAATGCCCCTTTGGCCCTTTTGGAAAGTTCAAACCAGTAACCTCCATACCTCCTCACGTTTTTATTCACACCAGCTACAGAAGATATGTATCATAACATAAATTTTCTCAACCTCTAATCTCGATTGCCAGTAAATAAATTATAATGAGGAACACTGGCACTGAGAGCTTTTGTATTAAGCATCTGGAGAATCCTCTTTCTCTAATGAGGTTCACTTGATTTAGAGTATGTTTATTATTCAGTACTAGATTGGATCAGTAGCTAGCTTCTTTTTGTTTTTTTTTTAATCTTTTAATTCTTGGTTTCATAAACTCTATGACTATCAAGTTAAATGCTGCACGGATTTACTGATTACACCTTGAAATTGAAAACTTCATTGAAACTATATTGAAAAGGACAGAAGAGGATGCAATTTTTCACTATAGCTTGTAACCAGACTATGACTCTTCTGAAGTCATATACTATTTTTTTGTGTATTGATTGAAAAATATAAAAAAGGAACAAGAAAACATGGCCGTACAAAAGGGAAAAGACACTAGATCTTTCATTCACTGATGCTTTTGCTCTGTCTTCCTCAGTTTTTAATCTTCACACTTGTGATTAATCTAAATTCCAACTGAACTCAACTTCTTTTAAAGATTCCTTGTTGAAATTCTTTGCTTAGAGATAATTCAATGCAGCCACCTTCTTAGGATCACAGATTGATGTTTAAGTTATATATATATGTATGCATCCCCATTCTGCCATGTGAAGTGAGTAATGCTTGAGTTAGATCCAGCTCTCAATAATAGTAGTTCATTTTTAGAAGACAGAGAGCTCAGTTGCAACTTCCCCATACATGGCTCAACAATCCATTTCATTATAAATTGAATTATATTGAAATTCTACAGAGGCTTTTGGTAATAGAGTAATATCTAGCTTTGCTGGCAATTGTGAAGGGAACAAAAAACAGAATAAGTCCAGAGCTTTGATATCACCAAGCTTAATTAGCGCAAATCTTTGTTTGCAACTCTATGAAAAGATGGATATCATCAGTAAGAACCACTTTATTTCTGAGTCAATTATGCTTCTACTATGCTGTACCTTCAGCGAGTATATCTCTATGGCATCTAGCATCTTCTCCCCAGGCCAATCTCTTTCAGGAAACCAGACAATCACCTCTACAGGTGGCCTATTTGAGCTGGGTTTCTTCACACCAGTTAACTCTCAAAACTATTACATAGGCATATGGTACAAAAATCTACCACATCAAACAGTAGTTTGGGTGGCTAACAGAAATCAGCCTGTTTCTGATCCAATTTCTTCAACATTGGAACTCCATGCTAATGGAAACTTAATCTTACATGGATTGTCCAAACTTCCAATATGGTCCACTAATTCAACATCAGAGATTGCTAATTCCACTATAGGAATGCTTCTTGATAGTGGGAACTTTGTTCTAAGAGATGCATCTGATCCATCCGCTGTAATATGGCAGAGTTTTGATTTCCCAACAGATACTTGTCTGCCGGGTGCAAGGCTTGGATATAATAAGCTTACCAAGGAAAAACTAATTCTTAGGCCATGGAGAACTTCAAGTGATCCAGCACCCGGCCTCTTCTATTTAGAGCTACAACAAAATGGAACAAGTGTTTGGTTACTCTGGAATGGTTCTGAAACTTATTGGACCAGTGGATATTGGACAGGGAAACTCTTCAGCCTTGTTCCAGAAATGGCGGAGAATAATTATATTTCAAATTTTACTTTTGCTTCAAATGAGAATGGAAGTTATTTTACTTATGCTGATGCCTCTTCAAAAACCTTTATCAGGATTATGCTAGAAATCACTGGTCAGCTCAAGTTATTCATCAGGGGGAAGGAGTTCACACAATGGACTTTGACCTGGATGCCACCACTCGAACAATGTGATGTTTATGGTTCATGTGGTGCTTTTAGCATCTGCAACCAGAAGAATGTGTCTCTTTGTGGCTGCCTGCAAGGATTTGAACCCCAAGTCCCAAAAGATTGGAAATTACAAGATCACAAATAGCTGTGTGAGGACAACTCATTTACAATGCAATGATGTGAGAAATTCCTCATTTCCTGTATGCATGATGTTCTCAATCCTATGCTTCTGAGTCTTCGACAGTTAAGAAATGTTGATGAATGTAAATTAGCGTGGTTAAGAAATTGCTCATGCACTGCTTTTGCTTATGATTATCAGTGTCTGATTTGGAAAGGAGACCTATTCAATCTAAAGCAACTAGCATCTGCAGGAGAGAGAGGCCAGGATTGGCATGTCCGAGTTGCAAGATCTGAGAAGGATCAAATTATATATTCTGCAAACAAGAAAAAGAGAGAGACTGCTTGGATTTTTATTGGAGTACTTGCAGGGTTATTCTTTGTCTTAAGCGTTGTCATGGTCATTTTCAGAAGGAAACAGTCAGTAGGAGCATTGGACACAATTGAGGATTCTCTCGTGCTGTTATAGAGATTTAAAAAAAGCAACAAAGGATTTCTCTGAAAAACTTGGAGAAGGAGGTTTTGGTTCCGTTTTCAAGGGTATATTGGCTGATTCAACTGCCATTGCAGTGAAAGAACTTAAATATCTGCAGCAGGTAGAGAAACAATTTCACGCCGAAGTGAGAACTATTGGTGCAATCCAACACATCAATCTTGTTCGCCACTGGGGATTTTGTGCAGAAGCTTCAAAAAGACTTTTAGTTTATGAGTACATGCCAAATGGTTCTTTACACTCCCTCTTGCTTCCGAAGAACCCACTAATCTTAGATTGGAAACTAGATATCATATTGCAATAGGGACTGCGAAAGGATTGGCTTACCTCCATGAGGAGTGCAGAGAGTGCGTCATGCACTGTGACATCTAGTCTGATAACATTTTGTTGGATGCAGAATACAACCAGAAACTTGGAGATTTTGGTCTTGCAAAGCTGATAGACGGAAACTGCAGCCGAGTTTTGACAACCATGTGAGGAACGCTCGGCTATCTTGCACCAGAATGGTTTTCAGGCGAAGCCATCACTCCAAAAGCTGACGTGTTTAGCTATGGAATGTTGCTGATTGAGGTTATATATCAGGAAGGAGAAACAGAGATGTGTTCGATGACGGGTTAGAAAACTACCTTCCAATCGAGTTGCAAATGTAATAATTGAATGAAAAGATGCTATTAGCTTGTTAGATTACAGGTTTGAAGGCCAAGCCGACAAGGATGAACTTGGTAGAGCATGCAAAGTCGCTTGTTGGTGCATTCAAGATGATGAGAAGGATAGGCCAACCATGAGGCAGGTTGTTCAAGTTCTCGAGGGAGTTTCAGATGTTGGTATATCCCCAATGCCGTGGTTCCTCCAGCGCCTTACAGAACTTCCAATAGAAGCCATTAATTACGAGGAGACCACTTCCGGCTCAGATTCGTTTTCTTGCACTCAAGTGCATTTCAACCTCAAATTAGAAGCTGTTCAAAAGAAATGTAACAAGGATGCAGCTTTTGCAAGCTAAAATCAGCAACTTCCATTTCTATGTTTCCATTAAGATCACATTTCTGTTGCCTTCTTGCTACCTATACAAGATTTGTATTGAAAAATAAGTTTTAGCAACCCAGGTTGAACCCCATAAGCATCCTACTTTCTTATTTAACATCAGCAAAGCATATTCTCTCGCTGAACAATTTCATCAGTTGATTTAAAATCATTTTGTTCGTCAGTATTGCCTCTCATACCAGGGCAGGGGGTTTTGCAACTTTGCATAAATAACATCAAAAGCTTCAACAACCAAAGCATTTACAAATTTACACGGAGAGCATTAGCCTAGCCAATATTACATGGAAAAATTGTCTAAAGAAGAAAAACAATACTTAGAAAGTGATTTGTTGCCAGATGAGAAAAATTGTTCCTTCCTCTATCTGCATTAACCATCTTGTTGAAGGACTGGGGTGTTAACTAAATCAGCAACCTAGAATGAATGTGGGGTAGAGATAGCAACAACATAAACATTAATTGTCATTATCCAACGGGGGTCACGTCTAGTGGAAAAGGGCATTGATTGCAAACTAGTGGTCTTAAGTTCGAACTCTCATGCCACCTTGACAATGTGTGTGAGAAAACCACCATCCACCTTCCTAACTTTGGCAAAAAAAAAAAAAAAAATTTCATTACATAGAATATTTAAAATAAAAAATAGTCACGACTTTTTAAAGAGGAAGAAATCTTCCCTACGCTGGTACCTGTTCTCTTTGTTGGTAACCACCACTCTCATTCTCTCTTACTGGTATCTTAATCTCCTCTCTAGTTAATACCTTTAAGGACAAAATAGCCATAGAAAATAAGTAATAAATGCAAATTGGGCCTCGTTTCAATAAGTGTAATACAAGGGTTTTTCCCGGCATTTTTGGTATGGATCATTTCTATATAGACCCCAAAATATTTTTAGTGAGAGTTGGTGTTGACAGTACAACATACCTTTGCTTCAAAACAGATGCAGTCTCTGCAGGAATTGTGCTTAGAACCCCTTGATCAATTTTTATTTTCAGTTTTGGATTGCATTCAATGTAAACGAATTCCGCCACTGCCAGGGATGGGCACTTTAAAGTATAACCTTCAGTGCACACACGCTTGAAGTTTGGTAGCTTACGAAGCATTATGGAATTCACTAGAGGAAGTTCCATTTCCTCTGCATGTTCTGCTTCTGTCTCTGCAACAATTTCTTCCATCATCCAACAATCTATAACTTTTATCTGCTCTAGGCTGATAAGAAGTTTAACTATGGAAGGTGAAAACAAATATTTCATTTGCTCACAACCATGTACTTCTAGCCATCTCAAGTTCCGAAAGCCGTCGATTTGTTGTGAACCCATTTCCCATATGTCAATTAACATTGGCAAATCTTTTAATACCAATCGTTTGATCTTGGTAAATTTGTGTGCATAATTGCTTTCTTTAGGTTGGAATATCACTTGCAGTGACTCGCAGCCTTCCATTTCAAGACATTCTAGATTATCACTGTCATCTGACTCATTAATAGTTACCGACAGTGTAACCTGAAAATTAAAATGGCCCACTAATCAACAACAAATCAAAATAATAGGAACTAAGTAAGAGAAAAAGAATAGGTGGCTTCATGAATAAGCATTTCATCATCTAAAGTTCAAACATTTTATTCGGGAAGCATTTTAGGCAATTCATCATCTAAAGTACCAATAGAAACCCTATTTGTGGACGCATATGCCCATGCCCATTGACCTTTTTTCAGTACTTACCAGATCTTTGAGCATATTTACACCCGCAAGCCCACGCATATGTACATATACATATTGATATGGAAAGTATATATTACCAACAATACGTTAGTCATTTAAATGTTTACCTCTTTTTTGGAAGTGTGTTCACTGGACGAGAATGGTGCGGAAACTGATGGTTGCGAACGAGTACTACTAGGACCTGCATCCGACTTTTGGATTTGTGGAATATTCTTTCTTTGTTTTTGTTTTCGTGGAATCAATGAACCCAATGTCTCCAATTTCGGGCATCTTCTCAGGTACATTACTCTTGTGGATGGCCATACAAAAGTATTATCAGCATCGTCGCTAAAAGTCTTGGGACCATCACTGAGGCTCACAAGGCTTGACAGGTCTTCTAGTCTAAGACTCAGTTTGGGAAACAAGATCCTTGTGGACCCTATCTCTTCTTTATACTGAAGTGCGACTATGGTTCTCATAGTCCTGCAATAAGAGATTTTTAATTCTTCAAGACCCACAAGTTGCCTGGCCACTGAGTAGGAGAACAGGTATTGCAAGCTGTCACAACTTAGGACAGTTAAAAACCTTAAATTTTCAAAGCACCGGATTCGACGCGGAACGTTCTTCCACAAGTGTGCAAGCAGAGTTACATTTGCAAGGGACACTTTTCGTAGTTGAGTGAAGGAGACCGGAATTTCTTCAGTGTTCCCCTGAACCATCTGGCCCTCTAGATCAAATAGCACTTCTATTTTTGATGACAGCTTCACTTCTAGTTCTTCTAGATTTTTTAACCAGGAAATGCAATTTGGTGGAAGTAGTATTTTTGATTTCTTAGAAGAGGACCCGCCAGCTTCATTTCCTTGATTTGACGACCAAGTCTCTGCCATCTTTGCCAAATGGGAGGAGTTGATCAGCATATAAATTCGTAAGTCAACCAAATATGTAATAATGGATTAACCCTCAGAGGAAAAAAGAAATTTGACACACATTTAATTATCAAAAAGAAAATAACCAATTACTCAATTATATATATATAGACACACGCATACCTCAGGTTTTGAGCTACATGGCTGGTTGGCTATGTAGAAACTAACCAGGTTTGATACACCGGACAGATTGAGCTCCGTTAAATTAGGAAAAGCAACCTTGGAAGATGCATCAATCTCATCTTCCATCCCCTCATTTGAGACAATTTCTTGCATTTTGTCGCATAGATAAACAACTAAGGACTGGAGTTGTACCAAGTTTCTTGCTATAGACACTGGAAAGGCATATCTTAACTCAGAACAACAACTGATCTGAAGGGATCTTAGGTTGCCAAAAGATTGATTTTGAAGCTGCCCATGACATATTGCTAGTAAATCCGGTATCCCGTTTAGCTCAAGTGACTTCAACTGAAGGAAGGCAGTCTCACCCGTTCGATCACTTATAAGAGACTCTGTGCCGTGCTTACTATTTTGAATCGATAAAGCTTCCAAGCCTTCAAAACTTACTTGGTCATTGAGGACACAGTTCAGATTTTTAGTTTCTCTGAAGTACAAAGCTCTAGAGTACCTCAACAGAAATCTAACATCTCCATTTTGCATGAACTCCTTTGCATCACCAGCAAGCTTAACAGTATTTTTAAATCCGTAATCCAGGGGTTGTGGCATAGGAAAAGTATTAGCCTTGCATATAGATATATGAAATCTTGTTGTTTCCTTTTCCAAGAGCACTTCAACTTCTGGCAACAACTTGAAATCCGGTATATCTATGGCTAAAACTGTCAAATTTTTAGAGGGTAGAGACATCACCTCAGCTAGGCTTGCCATCCGGATCTCACCTTCTTTGCTTTGATCGACTTCCTCTGCAGGCTCCCATTTATTAAAGCTGCGTGTCATGTACAGCTCTTCTAGTTTACTTAATGTGGATAGGATACCATGAGGAATTTTCTTCAGATAAGAACAATCTGTCGTATCTAACAACCTTAATTGTTGAAGATCTGCAACTTCTCTCGGTAACTCTTTGATGTTGGAACGCGCAAAACTGAGGATCTCGAGATTCTCCAATTTCCCAACACCAGATATGTCTCCCAGTGTACAATCATCTAGAGACAAGGTCCGAAGGTGTCTTGGCAGCACTTTAATTGATGTTGAACCTGTATGTATGAAAGATAAAACCCGGAGCTTCATCCCTTTCAACATGCTTTCCAGGGCAGATTCTGAAATTTCGCCATTTTTTAGTTGTAGAAGTTTAAGTTCTTGATACCCCAAACCTGTCACAATGCGGTCGTCAATATGAACATTATTCAGTGAAACTGTTGTGTACTGTTTGCATGGAGGATTTATTTGCCAACTTCTATATCCAGCTTGATCTTGTACCATAAAAACATCCATATCTTGGGAAGCAATTGATATGGCAACGCCATGAACTACGCCATGCATTTTGGTACAGCCTTCCTTGCTGCTATCTAGCAGCAAAAACCTCCTTTTTAGTTTGACAACCAAAGAATGTACTCGCATTCTTGCTGCCTCCACTGAATCAAAACTGTCAGAAATTATTCCTTGTCCCCATGCATATCTAACCAAATAATCAATTGGAATATCGTAACCTTGTGGAAATAAACAACATAGTAAAAAGCATGACTTGAGTTCATCATTCTCCAGTCGTTCATAACAGAGTTTTATACTAGAATAATAAGATTGGGGAGGAATTTCATGCGCTTTTAGTTGCTGAAGGGCATTAGTCCATTCATACTTACTCTTATTATTTTGTAGCGCTTTCGCAATAGTTACGACACTATACGGTAAACCTCCACATTCATTTGTGAGCGCTTTTGCAATACCACATAAATCAGGATCAGCATCCAAGGGTTCACCTATTGTCTCCTGGAATAGCTCCCATGCTTCTTCTGTAGTTAACAGCGGGAGTGTAAAGTTCTTTTGACTCCCTATCTCATAGCACACATCCAAATTCGATGACGTCACCAAAACTTTGCAACCTTTATGTGAATGTCCAAGCGGAAGTCCTATTGCCTCAAAATCATGTACTGACCATACATCATCTAATACGATGAGGATCCTTTCACATAGGATTCGTTCTCTTCCCTTTTCAGTTTCTAGGTCAATTGTATCTGCAATTTCAGCTTGTATTTTACTAATGTTTGGGTTTGGGGACACACCTATCATCACAACCGCATCAAACAGCTTTCCTTGAACTATTTTAATGATTTCTTCCGCCATTAGGGTTTTACCCACACCGACCATCCCGCAAATCCCAACCATTCTTATGTTTTCATTCTTCAAAGCCTCCAAGACATGATTCATGACTGTTATTCTGGATTTAGGGCCTCTAACGCCTGCTGTTAATGTTGGCCGTATCGTCTGTGGAGCTGCTGGATGGGCTACATTTTCGAATTTTCCTTCTTCAAGGAGATGAACAACATGTTGTTTAATCTTCTGCGCTTGCCTACTCAAACTCAGCCAATACAAGCATCGTCTTCTCCTGTTGACTTCATCTTCAAAACGCGAGACTTTGCCGATCGTCACGTCCACCGTGCTTAGCCAAATCAAAACATCATAGTTGATCACTTCCCCTTCCCTTTCGGCCTCATTGACCAACCTCTGCAACGCATCTCTCTTCACAATTAATTTTGTAAACTCATCTTTAAGATCTTCTATGTTAGGATCACAGTAGGTCAAACAACCACTCTGTGTCCCCATCAGCGCCACTAACTACCTTCCCAACTTCGGATGTAGATGAATTAACAATATCTTTTTTTTTTTTTTGGGGTCTGATTTTTCTTTCTTTTTGTTGGGGAAAGGAAAAAGCAATTGGAATAAATGCTCCTCTCTATGTATTTGTACAGTAATTTGAAGGCTTCTCCCGATATAAAAATCCACGGAGCTGTCAAACGAAAATAAATAATAAATATAAAAATGAAAGATTGTTATAACTAAGGAAAAAACCAGGTGCTATAATGAAATTTGGCAGATGTCTAAGGGTTACATGATCTTCACCTCGAATTCATATTATTGACTAGTCTCAAAGTCTAATAGAGCTATTTGAGGATTGTTGGCTAACGCGACATGATGGGTGAGAGGGTTGATATTGCCTGGACCTAAGGTATAATATTAAAATTAATAAATTTGATTTTTCTACTTCAAACTAATTTTTTTCTTACCAGCATGTTGCGCAGCCCATCCCCTTTTATTTCTATAAGTAAAAGTCAATTTTTTCTAAGTAAAACTAATGACTAAGGTCCAACAAAGCAAGTTACCGAATCAGTCCTAATCAAGGGTGGAACTATACCTTAATGACTACGGTGGGCTGTAGCCTAAGGAGAGTTTTGGGGATTAAAAAAAATCAAACCTATATATTTGACTTGTTTTAAACATAGCCCAATATGTATTAACCTATTACTAGTCCAGAAAAGTCCAATTCTTTATGAGTTTAGGTGCAAGACATCAATAAAAATACACATTAAAATAGGTACACTTTCAATTATGTTATCCAACATATTTTTCATTTTATAATATGTGCTTTTTGGTTTCATTAATATGTATTTTTTTTTTATGTTAAACTTTATTGGAAATTAGCATTTAGCTGTGCACTCGAGGTCCTAGGTCTAATTCTCCCCTCCACAAATATAAAAAGAAAAAAAGCGTATTGAAAATTAGTCAATGAAATTATGAACTATCGTAATTGATATGATTTAATATATACTTTTATTTCTAGAAAGACTAGAAACTAAAAGTAAAAACAAATAATATCATTAGAACGTAAGGTAATAACTTTAGCTAGCCCACCCATTGAGGAGAGAGAAAGACATAGTTTTTTGAAATTTTACTTGCCCAAATTGCAACCGCGAGATGGTGACATAGAGACAGAGAATGGGGAGGTGTTGCAGGAAAAAGGGTAGGTGCTGTGGGGAAGATGGTGGCTATGGGGAAGAGGATGAGAGTGCTAAGGTTTTTTTTCTTCTTTAATGTGTTTTATTTATTTATTTTAGGGAGATTCACTATTATACCCAATATAAGGGCCCAAATTATAAAAATACCCTATATGAAATGGACTTTAGAAATGTACCCAAAGCTCATTTACAACATAACAAAGAGGCTTTTAACTTCTTATAAATTACAAAACTACCACCAATTTCTTAGAACAAGCCCAACCCCAAAACCTCATAAAAAAAACCCCAAATACACAATAGGTATCAAAGTAATTTAATAATCAAACTTAAATTCAATAGGGCTAGCTGTCATTTTTTGGGTTTGTTTATAGAAATTCAGTGGTGTAGGGCTTATCTATAATATTAGTGCTAAGAATGGGTATATCACTAAATATCTCTTTATTTTAATTGTTATTTTGTTTTATTCTTTTGTTATTTGATTTGTTTCTTAATTTATTGCTTATGTGGAGTCCACGTCAGTTAAAAATAGGTCCCACAAATGTCACATTAACACTTAATGATTTTATTAAGAGTACTTCTAAACAAACCTTAAAATTACTGAGTACACCCTACTACCAAACTATTTATTAAATTACTAATTTACCCTAATATAAAATGACCAAAAAGAATATATTGAATTGTGAAATAAATATAATTTTAATAAGTACATCCTACTCACCATATTCAACCCTAATCAAATATAGAGAAGTTTCCATATTACTTGGTGCCCACGAACAAAGTCGCGCACACTGACGAAGGTGCAAGGAGGTGTCGTTAAATGGTGTATAGCATATAGGAAGGGATAGATAGCAATGATTCTAATCCAGCTAACTTACTTGCAACAGTATCAATCTTCGATGAGTGACTAGAAGAATTTTCCCTTTGTAGAGTAAAAAGCGATCTTCATAAGCATATGATAACACAAACTTCCCACATACTTTAAACAGATCAACCTGGAGGAAAAATGAACCTGATTCTGTCAGTTGCAATATAACCTTCATGACAAAAGAAAAAGAATTAATTTTAGTCACTGAATACAAGTAGATTGTAACCAAATAGGACATCAAGCTGGATATCAACCAACAAATAATCACACAAGGAGGTTTACTTAATTTAAGGTTGAAGAAGATGAGAGAGGATGGAATATTAAATAAATTTCAGACATTGAGATTTCCACCGGCTTCTCTAATAACATCACCAAAGTCTTCTATGCCCTTGCTTTCCTGCCAAAGTAAAAAATTTAATAAATTGTAGACATTGAGATTCATGAGCGTAGAAATTGCAACTAGTAAGAGCTGGAAAAGTATAACACTCATAAAAAGAAGGATTGGTATTAGGGTGTTGTGTAATAGAGTGTATTAGGGTGTACCAAAGGTATTTTTGGTAGTTAAATAAGGTGTACTTAGTTAATTTTACATTTTGATTAAAATATTAGGGTTTACTTAGATCATAGGGTGTACTTAGTTAATTTTAGGGTTCGTTTAGCAGCACTCTTTTATTCATAGTTGGGCTAACAGAGGGGGTGAAATGTAAATTCTCAATGAGTTTGAGTATGCAACTGTAAATGTCCCCAAAAATGGATATGAACTTGAAAATGACCCCCTAGACATAATACCTACCTATCTATTCACTGATCATGTATAAAATATGTAGGTAATTTATCTATTTTGCATGTATCACCATAAGTTTCCAACGGACAATGACCTAACCGATACTTTTTAGGCAAAAGATTAATTTTTATTAGGTATATTATTATCATTGTTTGTTTAGCTATATTACTATTATTTATGTGTATTATTATTGTACATACGTAATTTGTATTCAATTATTATTTATGTATATTAGGTGTTTACTTTTGTTTGAAACGTTTAATTATTGAATAGGTTTCCAAATTTAAAGGAATTAAATTTAAATGCTAAAAATAAGGGATTTGACAAGTAGTTAAGGTAGATGGCATAGTCTATGAATATGTTACAATACTAGGACAACTATAACCTATATTAAAATTTGGGCTTTTCATAAATGTTAAAAAATTGGTAGGTTTATGTCTAGAGATAAGAGTTTATTTATTTATTTAGTACAAGGATAGTCTAAACTAGAGGGGTGGGAGTTACACACAACTAATGTCATAGGGGTTCGAACCTGAAATCTGTGGTTTGCAAGTCAAGATCCTTTTCCATTGACCTGGAGCCCCCATTGGCTGGATTAGAGTTTCAAGAGACTATCTCTTAACATATATCTAATACTGAAGTGTGAGAGAGTTTCAACGTCGACGTACCTCTAATACCAATATGAATTAGGGTGCAAGAGAATCTGAGAGAAATTCTGCAGAATGCGATGTCATGAGACAAAAGTGCTGCAGGTGCTCCACAAATTGAATAAGAGAAAAATTTAATTGTTTGAAGGAATAATCACAGAGGATAATACTGATCGATTCACAGAAATTAAAGACTAACAATTGATCATACTAGCTTAGAACAATTTATAAAATGAGTTGTGTGAGCTATAAAAAGGAAAGAAGTGGAAAGAAATACAACAGGCATCACTTCAAGAGAAGGTTATTCCTTGAAAACCGAACTCTATAGTACAGAATACTAGAAGCATATCCAAGCTTAGAGGTTTCCTTTTTCAATCACTAAAGAGACAAAATATGCACCCAAGCAAGGTATAAGATTCATGTGATGGGAAAACAAAAAAAATACATAGATACATCAAGACTTTAAATACGCACTGACCCAATATGAATGAGAAGGAAATGGAGAAAAGAAATCTAGGGATTTAGATGACATTATAATGTTAATTTGTTTATTTGAGTTTCGACGTGGACGTACCTCTACTACCAATGTGAATTAGGGTGTAAGAGAACCTGAGAGAAATTCTGCAGAATGCGATGTCATCGGACAAAAGTGCTGCAGGTGCTCCACGAATTGAAGAAGAGAAAAATTTAATTGTTTGAAGGAATCACAAGGAGGATAATACTGATCAATTCACAGAAATTAAAGACTAACAATTTGATCATACTAGCTTAGAACAATTTATAATATACAAATTTATAATATGAGTTGTGTAAGCTATAAAAAGGAAAGAAGTGGAAAGAAATACAACAAGCATCACTTGAAGAGAAGGTTATTCCTTGAAAACCGAAGTACAGAATACTAGAAGCATATCCAAGCTTAGAGGTTTCCTTTTTCAATCACTAAAGAGATAAAATATGAACCCAAGCAAGGTATAGGATTCATGTGATGGGAAAAAAAAAAAGAATACATAGATACGTCAAGACTTTAAATATGCACGGATCGACCCAATATGAATAAGAAGGAAATGGAGAAAAGAAATCTCACTACAAAAAAAAGTGGCAACAGTTACCATTTTTTCAGTCACGTTCTTCTTTTTTATCAAGTTAAAATAAGATAAAGAGACCTCTGAGTTTATCTTAACTGTTTCATTAAATATATGCTATTTAATCGTTTTTACATATTTTAAATATCTTTATAGATTAATCTAATTTCCTGCCTTCGTGTTATTTAAACTTATCATTCGGACCTAAAGCAGAGGTCTAGGCTTGAATAGGGACTATTAGTTCGAAAGTAAAAGGTTAATTCAGGCCCAAACTATATCATTGGGCCCGAATTGACTAAGAATCTTGACCTGATCTATGGGTTGATCTAAACCCAAATAGGTACCATTAACCATGATTCTAGTTCCCTCCTTGTTTGATTAGGTATTGCTTGTATCTATCAGACCGACACGCATAAATGAAAGAATATTGAA